CAGGATGGTCTCGATCTCTTGACCTCGTGATCCACCCGCCTCGGCCTCCGAAAGTGCTGGGATTACAGGCTTGAGCCACCGCGCCCGGCCTCCCAGTCTAATTCTTGTTCTTTTTTCCCAGTAGACTTTTCATTCATCCTTGGTATGTAATGTTTCCCCTTACTGTGTATGAGTGAGGTCTCTGGAGCTCTCTGAAGGCTGGTCTGCTTGGTCCTGGTGGACCTGCCCCTCTGTATCCTGGGTGGCTTCCCTCCCTCCATTCTGATCTAAGATGCTGGTCTTCTGGAGGAACCCCTGGGCTCTGGCATTCCCACCCCTATGTCCCTTTGCACTCACTCTGGGGGTTCTCCCAGCCCTGCCCGCCCTGTGGCTGGGTCCACCCTGCCCTGCTCTCCACTGCTCTATAGCCTCTCCCAGCCCTGCCCACCCATGGCTGGGTCCACCCTGCTCTGCACTTGCACCAGGGGCTCTCCCAGGCCTGCCTGCCTGTGGCTGGGTCCACCCTGCTCTGCCCATTTGCTTTCATAGCTCGGTTCCTTTGTGCATAACTGCGTTTATGATCTTCTAAGGTCATTGCTTTCCCCCCTCTTCCTGCATGCTGGCTCTTCTGTTTTTGTGTATCTCACCCTCGTCTGTGGTGTTGGGTTTTCTCCGGCATCTGGCCATCCATGGTGTCTGCTTATCTCTGTGCTGGGCATCCCCACGTGCCCGTCCGCAGGAGCCCAGGAGCACATCAGGCCAGCGCAGGCCACGTGGGAGCAGAAGGGACACAGCAGCTCTGCCTTTCCCATCGTGCCTCTGCTTTTCCCGTGGAAGGGACCTCAGGAAACGTTAATGCTGGGCGGTTGGATGTGTCCTTAGGTACAAGCAGGAGCTGTCCCTGGCGGTCGGAAGGGAGCGGAGCCTGGAACGTGCTCAGGTGCAGCTGGGCCTGGACTGGCAGCGCCGCTGTGACGATGTTGAAAGGGACCACATCCAAAAATCGGAGGCCCTGATTCAGGGTCTGACCACGGCAAAAAGTCAGGTGTGTGGGGCCACCAGGGCCTGGGGCCTCCTCAGCACCTCTGCAGAGGTGGGGCTGGGCAGGACAGGTCTGGCTCTCACCAAATTGTTCTTTAAATATGAAAACACTCAACCTCACTGAGCAGTTTGCTGTATAGCAAGAGAAGTTACAGTAATAAAAATGCGCCCCCGCCTGTCCACCCGCCTTGACAGTGCTTTCTTGCGTAAGCTGTTTCTGTAGCTGACCAGCTGCATGGTTTGATGATCCACACTGGCCTGTAAGGGCAGCCTGGGGTGTGGACTGGGCTGGAACAGTTTGGCACCCTGGCCACAGCGGGGAGCGTGCTCCGAGCGTTTCCTCCCTGTGTGTGCCATCGGAGCCTCAGCAGGCGCAGGAGCTGCCCCGTCATCCACACAGGGACTGAGCCCCAGTGTTTTCCCAGGTTGCTGCCAAGCTGCAGGAGACAGAGCGGGCACTACGGGAGCAGGAGGCGGTGCTGAAGGCCGTGACCCTGGAGCGAGACCAGGCCATGCAGGCCCTGAGGATGCAGGGGCTCCCCAGACCAGAGGCACAGGTGAGAGTGCCCAGCTGGCTCTTTGAAACATTGCTCAACAGCAGCAGTAGGAAAACAGAACTGGAGCCCCAAATCCTGCCAAGGCTGGAGTTAAGTCTTTCTGTTGTGTTCTTTTTAAATGACCAGTTGCACAGACAAGTGTGAGTTAGAAGCTTTAGAGAGTTAAGGTGAACTCAGGCTTCTTCATCTTTCACATTTGAAAGCTCTAAAAATCCCAAATCCAAATATTGCTGGATAGCAGATGTTCATGTGAGTTTGTTCTTACATTACTGCCTCAGGTCTATCACAGTGGGTCATTTTATGCTAGGAATCTATCATCACCACTTCTGATTTTGTTGAGCAGTGACGTTAGCGGTTAGTAGTTAAGTCAGCCTGTGCCAAGGTCTGCTCTTAGGCCTTGACACCCTCCACTCATTTCATCTCTGAGGTTGGCACCACATCCACTGAGACAGGGACACTGAGGAACTTGCCTGAGCTGTCACAGCTCGTCACAGCTCGTCAGAGCAGAGCTGGGTCCACAGGCAGAGGGGAGCGGGCTGGCGGGGCTGCAGGAGGCTGGGAGAGAGCGCAGAGGTCCCAGCACGGGATGACTGCCCCAGGCCTGTAAATGGCTTTTCTTTTTCCATGGGGGTGCAGCACACACAGTGGAGCGTGCAGGCCTGGAGTGCACAGGTCAATGCAGCCGACACTTCAGTGTGCCCATGCACTCGGTCCAACAAGACCACCCAGGGAGAGTCCCTGCGCCCTGCTGTTCCCCCTCCCTGCACAAAGTGGCTGCTGATGTGCATTCTCTCCCCCTCGATTTGCCTCTCTGCCTGTGGCTTGGCTTATCATGGAGGGCCTAGGTGTACAGGGGCTCCTCCGAGAGCACCAAGGCAGCTAAGTGTGCTTAGGAGTCAGAGCCTAACTGGTATGAAGAATGTTCCTAGCTCGTCCTTCATTCATGTAATTTTTATTTATTTATTTATTTTGAGACAGGATCTCACTTTGTCACCCAGGCTGGAGCACAGTTGTGTAATCTCAGCTCACTGCAACCTCCTCCTCCCTGAAGGCTCAAGAAATCCTCCCGCTTCAGCCCTCCCAGTAGCTGGGACCACAGGTGTGCATCTTCACGCCTGGCTAATTTTTTTTTTTTTTTAATTGAGACAGAGTTTCACTCTTGTTGCCCAGGCAGGAGTGCAATGGTGCGATCTTGGCCCACTGCAACCTCTGTCTTCCAGGTTCGGGTGATTCTCCTGCCTCAGCCTCCTGAGTAGCTGGGATTACAGGCATGCGCTACCATGCCCAGCTAAATTTTGTGTTTTTAGTAGAGACGGGGTTTCTGCATGTTGGTCAGGCTGGTCTCGATCTCCTGACCTCAGGTGGTCTGCCTGCCTCAGCCTCCCAAAGTGCTGGGATTACAGGCGTGAGTCACCACACCCAGTCTTATTTATGTACTTTTATTCAATGTCCATTCTCCTAAGAGTATACAGAACCAGGCCATGGAACTTTTTTCTCCCAGGAATGCTCTGTTCTGGGCACACAGAGTGCACACGCTGTGACCCTGCCTTGGCTGCTGGACATTTGGCAGCAGCCACAGCCTTTTGGAGGGTGGGGTGTAAGCAGCCGGAGGTCCTACAGGCCTCCAAGCAGGAGGGAGCAGGAAGACTCGTGAGAGAGGCCAAAGTGGATGCCGGTGGCCCCACCACATCATCGCTGGCCACAGAACCACCTTCTTCATTTTTAAAATGTGAAATAACGCTTCCTGTCCTGCTGGCTGCCTCACTGTGCAGCGCTGATTTTGGGAAATGCAGTGTGCTGCCAGATGTGTAGAATGAGGCCTTAGGTTGCAGCCTTCGTCATTGAAGCCGGGCCTCTCCAGTGGTGCAGAGAAACGAGAGGCAGGGATGCTCTCCTGAGGATACAGGCCTTCATGCACCCTGACGGAGTGGGCGAGAGCCAAGCAAAGGCAGGGTCCGTTCCCTCTCCACAAGTACTTCCTCTCTGGCTTAGTTCACCAGAACCTGGCACCGACTATGGGAGGCTGGCAGCTCAGCTGCGTCCTCCAAAAAGATGAGTGTGTGAACCCAGAAAATGTGAGACGGGTCTTAGTCAATTCAGAGTTTATTTTGCCAAGATTGAGGATGCACCCGTGACACAGCTCAGAAGGTCCTGACAGCATGTGCCCAGGATGGTCAGTGTGAGTTAAAGAGGAAGGGAACGTGAAGTGTGGCTGGCAGGCAAAGACAGGTCTTTAGTTAAAGCTGAGAGGCGCTCCTGGCCAATGGTGGTCAGGAGCACTTTCTGTTACAGACTAAGGGTACACATTGGCTTCAGGGTGAGGGGGCTTATCAGAAGCTGAGAATGTTTGTGTGGAGAAGTTTATGGCAGGCTTGGAATCTCTGGGAGAATGGGCTTTATCTTGGGGCAGACATCTTTCCAGCCAGAGGGTGGTTTATCTTGGGACTAGCATGTCTCTGGTTGGGAGGAGTTTGAATGTTTCTGGTTGGAGATGTTATTTGTGGTTTATGGTCATGCTGACTTTAGCCATTAGGCTGATGCCCTTTGGATTTATTTAAGCAGTTTTTTAATTAAGGTGAACTTTAGAGTGAGGGGCTTGTCCCAGATGGCGATGCTCCTGCTCTGTCAATCCAGACCCTCTAGTTATAAAAAGGAGGAAGGATGGCGTGTTCTTTCTGGCTACTTCCTGCTGACAAGGGGATGGAGAGTTTTCTGGTCTCAGGTTGACTGTAAGAGAATGCTGTCTGTAGATGTTTTTGGGTAGTTGTTTGTGAAATGGCCGTGATCCTGTGAGTTAAAAATCTTTGAAAAAGATTAATCAGGCAAGGTAAAAACTTTAGGCCCAGACATATTATTGGGAGAGGGCCTAGGAGTGGGGTGACCTATGCTGTGATTTTGTTTTCAAACCAAGAGTTTGTGTGGTTGTTTTGGTACTACCTTAGCTTTTTAGCCTTTTCTTTAAGGTTTTTAGCAGTGTTTTTTACTAGGCTGGATTGGTTAATATAGAAATATTTCTTACCTAATGAGAGGCAGAGGCACATGTTTGGAAAGGCCCATGTGTTATTTTCTGTTAGCAACCATTATTCCTGCTATGAGGATAATAATTAAGCAAAATGCTATAGTAATTAAGATTTTCTGTCTGATATTTCACCCTGAGGGCGCTACAGTATATAGACCTACTGCAAATAGTAGAGTGAGTAAAGCAGTTCCCAAAAGGGTGGTGTAGTAAATAATTTCCACTAAAAAGTTTTAATATTTGGCTTAAAAGGAGAGGTAGAAATGACAAAAGTATTTGGTGAGGTAGGGGTGAGACTGCATAAAATGCGTAGTTCTCACTTAGTTACTTATCCTTTATGAGTCTCAGCTTAAGATTTCCTGTTTCTTTATATTGATATTTAGGACCTTTTTTTGGGCCATCAGGGTTTGCTTCCTTAGTTTTCCAGGTTTTGACTTGAGAGTGATGTATTTAGAAGTTGATTCCTGCAGCAGATCCGGTCTTAATAACTACCCTGGGTTCTGTGGACTCACTAGACATGGGGCGGAGGATTCCAGGCACCCTCAGTTATTAGTTGTCAGCAGCAGCAGTGAAGAGATTTTCTCCTGTGATGGTTGTGGGGCTTAGAGACAGCACCTGCTGAAACATCTAGTTTTCAGTTTATAGGGCTTTGAGAAAGCACAGCTTATTTTGGAAAATTTTAGCAAGAAAAAGTAGAATTTAAATGAAACAGCAGGAAGTAATAAAAATTGAAAAACATTGGGCAACACTAGAATTTAACAACAGGTGTGCTATAGTTTTTGAAACAAATTTTCTCTTTCCAGTTTCCCATTTTTATTAAAAGACAAGTCATGTTAGGATTGGTTTGCTTAAGTATACTTGGCTTAACTATTTGCATACAGTGCAGCAAGAATAATTATTTGTTACATAGGCCTTTTAAATTGGCTTTGATAGAACTTTGTTCCATAGAAGGAATCTGAGGTAAGACCTTTTTAAAGCCAATCCTAGCCATGGGTCTGTACCATTAAATACCTATGAGTTGGTGAATTTCTCTCCTCTTGAGGTCCCAAGATAACTTGGGGTCCCTGGCCTGCTAGAAAGTGGCATTCTTTACTTGCCACAGATCAGAAACCCTGTACAGGGACTGTATACACAGAATATGAGGCTGGTTTTCCAAGGGCTTTTTTGCTTTATAAGTTAAGTTTGATTCCTTAAAGGAAAGCACACCATTCCAGTTAAAAACTTGGTAAAAATAACCAGTTTTTCCAATTCTGTCCTGTTACAAAAGAAAATAGATTCTTATTGCACTTATGCAAATAATTATATTGCCATAACTTAAGAATACTAACAGATAGTTTCCAAATTCTGGACAAGATTAGGTAGAGAGAAACAAGTGTGCTCCAAATTTTGTTTATGGGAGTTTACTAAATTGTTAGAAGCTATTAATAGCTCAAAAGAAAAATTTATTTGACTTTGAAAAGCAAAACAAGGGATTAGCGATATTTTAAGCAAAATGTTAAAAAGATTACTCCAGTCTCCTATTAGTTTGGTTCATGCAGTTAATTCCTGTCCTGATTGATTTTAATCAACATTTTAGCTCTTTAAGAGTTTTGAACATTTATCCTCAATTCTGATGTTACAATCTCCAAAGTTATCAGAAATCTGTATTCGCGAGCACCTGTTAGAGCTTTACAGCTTATTATGAAAGCACCTTTCATAGGACCAAAACAAGACAATTGTTTACAGATGACAAAAAGTTTTAGGGTAGCCATAGTTAAATACATAGTTGATGAGGATATTGATTGTGTGCCACAATCAATAATTTTAACATAACAATTATAGTTATTACTGATAATGTACACTAAGGTATATCAGAATTATAGGAGTTTCCCATAACTTTGGGACGCATACCAATAACATATTTATGCAATGTAGCCCAAAGAAAGCCAAACACCATTTTATATCTGACAGTGCTTCCTGTATGATTTTATACCAAATAAGCCAA